AGGTTGTATAACAATATAGAGCCGCCCCACTGTAGGCGCTTCTTATATAATTATGTATTGGGTGCGGTCACTTTCTGCAGGTGAAACCAAATTTCAACAGGCGCAGCCTCACTGTAACACACCCACGCGGCGGAAAACAGTGTCTGGGACCCCAGAGGTTTGTTCAACTTCTGGGTTGTTGTAAGGTCGATTGTACTTGTTTGCCCGCTTAGAAAAGTCCCAACACTTTAAGGTTCCATCCTGGGCGAGTTTGTTTCATTACGGTCCGCGGAAACAGATTGGATTCGATTAGATTGTTATGATGCCGATTGACCAGAGTGCACATCACTTTAAGATGAAATCCATAACACTAGTGTTATATGCTCAATGGGGGAAGAGTGAAGGGGCCCTTAGAGCCTAGAACCTTTCCTTAAGGACGCTGTTTGGCTGTTTCCTTGCTGACGGTAGGCCACTTGCGGGAGTTCCGTGCGACGGACACATCGGAACACACCACATAGAACTATTTAATAAATGTTTCCTATGTATACATTTGAACTTTATGTGTCAACGTATTGACGAAGACTTCCGTTGGATTAATGGAACAATCAATTTAATGTGGAATTGGAATCCGATTCCACATTAAATTGATCGGAAATAGGTATTTAATCGAAACTAGCTACCCTTAGTTAGACTGAAGACGGACAAAAGGACGCAACGTATCATAGGTATAGGTAGCAAAAATGTATTGGATTCAGTAAATTATCTACCGGTTTCAAGACTATTAGGAGTATGTTTTATTTATGGCGATAATTTTGCATAGGTACTGGCAGAGACAAGGGAAAACACTGGATTCAGTACAGCTATCTAAAGATTTAACGGTGACAGTTGTACATACTGGTTACTGGATGCAACATTGGGTCAAGCATAGCAGCAAAACGATTGGGTGGTGGAAAACGACAATTTTGTACACTAGAAACATGAACTCATACAATTTATCTGTCAGTTTAACCACAACCATTTTGGATCCGTATACTTCCATCTTCCCCAGAGTCTTTGTATAATAAGATCCTCACTATCGTGTGATCAAAAGTTAATCAATCTGACCTAGAACTCCGATGACACAGTTCCAGTGGTGCAGAGAAAGTGCAGATTATGTAATCTTCCCGACATAACAAACACAAAATGTCAATTGACTTCCGGTGTCAGTACACGTCTTGCCTTGCAGCGACCAACGACTGATCAGCTGATCAGACATTACAACCAAAGACAGACAAGTTGTTGATATATTCTATTGTTTATGAAAGAAGTGTGTAGAACGTGCATTATGCATCTTGAACGGATGCCGTTTCGTCGATTCGATTGTTTATCAAAGGATCTGCAACTTATGTTGGAGGTTTATTGAATTTTAAGCTTCAGTTTTTCATTTGCAGGATTGCTGAAATCACGAAATAAACAATGGTCCCACGTCTAAGATCATCAACGAACGATCGTGGCTAAGATCAAGCTGTCTATTCTCATTCAGATGATACTTTCCAAATATAGGACTAAAAATAATATAATAATATACAGATACGCGTACCTTAAACAATATATTTAATTACACACGTAGTAAGTTAATTGCTGTTTAATTTTTAAATCCTCCAATCCAAACCAAACGAGATTCTCATCCACAGCCACCAAAAGCAAGCAATACAAAACATCATTATGTCATGGTTATGATAGCGGCGAGCAGAGTGGGAATACTTGTTTGTGGGTATATTTTGATCAAACTTGGCAAATTTATTTATTTTATACTAAGCTATTAATATTTTATTAAAAAACACACTTTATTAGTTTCCTTGTAGCAGCAAACCTAGGTACTCATTAAACCTAATGTTATTTAAATAGATTTAATTTAAAATCAATTCAGACAAATGGAAATTCACTTAGTTGGCAGGTTTTCTGCGGCAGGGGTATTTATTATAAAGTATAGTTATCCCATTAATTAATTGTATAAAAAAAACAATCGAGTAGCATCTTATGACTATTGATACAATAGTCAATGGTAGCACAAAATATTTGAGTAAAATCAAGGCTTGATTGAAAGCACATTTTATCCAACAAGACACGTGTTCTTGAATCGTTATGAGAATTACTTTCAGTATCCATGGAAATTACCACATCAAAACTTAGATTTTTCACAACGGATGAATCTAAATTTTAGGGAGAAAAGTAATCAATTTTAATCAAGATTTTAAGTAAAGGATCACTTCAAAGCCAGTCCTGTGAATCAAGCAACCTACAACTAAGCAGTCAGGGATGGAATCAAAAAGGAATTTCCAAGGTATGTTATAACAATACAGTAATTGTTGTTTAACATAACAACAAATGCTGATACATGTTTTCTTTTTCATAAGAAATGCATAATCTTTCTTGTAAGGAAAAATAAATTATTTTCAAATTCTTCTTGGTTGGTACCTATGTATACCATATCCTCTAAGCTTATCCATATACAGCATCCTGAATGAATATCTTATAAGTTAAGTAATAAAGATTACAAGATATCTTATTATTAATTGTGTCCTCCTCCCGTGTTAAATATTTCTTCTTTGAACTTGAGACATTTTCTGTTCTTCCAACAAAACTGATTAACTGTTTAACTTGGTCTTAAGCTACTGAATATACAACCATAAATATTTACTCCCAAAAAGCTAATGAGTATCTTTTTATAAACAGCTGTTTTTTGTTTTTAAATTTGTTCCATGTATTTATTATGGGGAAACCCCGACCTTTGAGAAGGCCTCACGCCCTTAAGAGTAGGAATTTTAAAATTCTAAAACCTTACTGCAAAACTACATATTTAGACGAATCTTTTGACACCTTAAACATTGAAATTGGTCCACAAATAAGGGAGGAGTTGCGTTAACAAAAAACGGCTTCACGTATTATATACATAGATGTACTTTATATGTATACTTATTGTGATGGTTCATTTTTTAGAGGTGTTGTATGCAACAGAAGATGACTATATGATTAAAAGGACAAAGAGAAAGGGAAACTGTGTATTTTCTAAACCCCATCCGTCTCTTCTGGGATTTTACTCATCGGTGGGAGCAGAAATCAAAAGATAAGTACATTACGTTTTTCAATTATTCATAAATTACCTACTTTAAATTAAACTCGATTTCACGCCGTCAACATATTGGATAACTGACATCTGAGCATACCAGATCCAGCGTCGTAGAAAAATGTTCATTCGTTCCTTTTCTCATAATTTTTGACCCTGGCAATTTGAGCAACTTCCAAAAAAAATGCAGCATCAAATCAGGAAGTTGTAGATTTGTCAGTGGCTAGGTATCCAGCATTAGGAGCTTCAAGATAGGGACTTAAGATAGTTTCATTTAGGAACACTACAGTACACACATATGCAACATGTCTTATGTTAATTGTAAGTGTACAGCTCACTAATCGTTTTTATTTTTCTAGTCCATGATGAAGAGGAATTAACTCCAGAACTCCCCGCTCGCTGCAACCCCTCATAGAAGGAAATACATTGTCAGTGGTCCATCGCAGAAGACTGGAAATAAACACATCAGATGAACATCTTCTGGCTGCTCTTCTGGTCTTGGCAGTATTACACTCTTTGGATGTTTTTCACTACAATCATACACTCTGGATCTCTGGGAGAAGTTAGGACTTTCGCTGATATGAAACTAACAAACCGCTAAGAAAAGTCTCTGAGATACACTGCAAGAAAGTAACTGAAAATGCCTACTTGGATAGTTTGTGGGGTAGCCTTGGCACAAAAACTGGCAAAATCCTCATCGTAAAAGTTCACAAAGATTGTATCCAGAAAGAATATATAACAAATAACCTTACTTGATTTACTAATTTTTTAAATTACAGTAGAACCTCTTTAATCCGAACCCCTGTAATCCGAACGTCCACTAATCCGAACGCCTCATTGCTGTACTCTATACACAGTACAGTAGTTCTTTATTGTATGTATACTGTATTTATTGATATACGCATCATAGTTATTTCAATTGTAATGTATAGTAGGCCTATTGTTTATTCCTTATGTTTAATACTGTATTATATAAACTCTGTATTCTACTTTAAAAAGCATTTTTCACTTTTCCCTAGCTTTGTTATGTAAAAACAACAATATGTTCTGTAATCCGAACTATTCAATAATCCGAACTACCTCCGGTCCCAATTAGTTCGGATTAAAGAGGTTCTACTTTATTTTCATTCTTTACAAAAATGTTATAAAAAAAACAGCAATTCAAAATAAATTAATTTAAATTATGAAATTACTGGTTCAGGACGGAAATTCTAAACCACTTCTAGGACTACCAGAACCACTACTGGACTAGGAACCAGAGAACCAGAAAACTGGCACATTGTTAGCTCATTCCCTAAGTGCAAATCTAATGAACTAGACTACCACTGGTCTATAATAGATCCATAATAGGCACAGTCAGGGCCACAGACTTCGGGCCCAAAGCAGCGATGTCGTGGGTTCTTGTGCATGCCGCTACTTTTTGTTCACCCTTGTTCTATACCAGTGGATACGTTCCATGCACAGGCCTCTGTTTTTAAGGTACTGTACCTAAATCTTTTTATTTCAGGGCAATAAATACAAGAATAATTTCTTAACAAGTTTAATAGATTGATGCAAAAGTAACAAACTGTACATTATACCTATAATTAATATCCTAAAAATATTAGGTACATTTGAATGACATTTAGTTTGTTTGCTAAAATCTAAAAATGTACAACGTTATAGTAAACTCAGTCAAAAACCTTAAACATATAAACAAACTATGATTTCAAGGTTTCATATATAAATTACTAAGCATTACATTTCTACAACAAAAAATTGATTGCAAGGTAACACTTTCTAGGGAATCGATGTAAAATTTCAACTTTTTTTCCTTTGATTGAGATGAATGTAATAATCCTAAATTCTATTAAATTTGTAATGGTAAATTACTTTACTGTTATACTAAAAAATATACAACAATTCTTTGATTAGAGAGAGAGAAAATAGCCTATAATATTATGATTTAAAAGAAATGTAGATTTGAATCTAACCTATTGGCTTCAGATTGTAATGAATAATCAGAACTGGACAAAAATTATAAACAAAACAAATATTATCAATTTACTTTGTTGTGAGAGCAAAACTCACATCATCTGGGTCCAAATTCAGATCTGTTATTAACTTAACTAACCTCAAAAGTTTGTCTTTGGTTTTCTTTCTTCTCTCTTTCGGAATAGTTTTTAGAGAAATAAAGATTCCCTCCAAATGTTCAAAGTCAGACGGACAGGAGGTGGAAGAACCATCTTCAGGAGGATCAGAAGGCGGGTTGGTACCACTGGCAACAGTGCTGGTGGACTGGCTTTTAGGTTCTTCGCTGATGCTGGTAACACTGACAATAGAAAGGTTTGCACCACTGTTGATTGATGCACTTGAATTACTGACAGAAGTTAGGTTTGTAACACTGTCAGGCAGGTTTGTAGCACTGTGATTTGTTACAGGTGGATTTGCAGCACTGTCAATGATACTGTTAATAGAACTGTTAATAGCACTGACAGAAGATTGATGCGCAGCACTGACAAAAGGTATGTTTGTAGCACTGGTGATAGGCAGGTTGGCAGCAATGTCGACGGATGTGTTGGTACTGTTCAACATAGGTGGGAGTGGAGCAGGGACAGTAGAACTTCTTTGTTCACTGCTATAATTTTGTCTAGCATTAAAAACTGGTATGTTTATAGGACTAGCAGAAGGTTGGTTTGTGTTGTTGAAAGGTAAGTTTGTAGCACTAACTGAAGATTGGTTCGCACCCCTGACGTACGGTAGGTTTGTAGCACTAACTGAAGGTTGGTTCGTAGCCATGACATACGGTAAGTTTATAGCACTAACTGAAGGTTGGTTCGTAGCCCTGACATATGGTAGGTTTGTGGCACTAACTGGAGGTTGGTTCGTAGCCCTGACATATGGTAGGTTTGTAGCACTAACTGGAGGATGGTTCGCAGCCCTGACGTACGGTAGGTTTGTGGCACTAACTGAAGGTTGGTTCGCAGCCCTGACATATGGTAGGTTTGGAGCATTGTTGACATGTACGCTTCTATCACTGAAAGGTGGTGGAAATGCGTTGTAGTTATTTGTCGGGTAACCATGCGCCATATTGGGACCAAAGTAGTTCAGGGGTTGTAGAGGGTACTTCATGGCGTTAATATCTGCAACAGAACATCAAATTATTGTCATTGCACATACAAATAATACTGGTTGAGTACAGGCACCAAACACTCACTACCAGCGCAAAACTAACACTCTATAACTGCACTTTGGTCGCTATAAGTTGAAATTATGCTAGTCACGACCGCCACTTCAGCACGTTACGGAATTAAGTTTCGGTCACGTGGTATAACGTATCCAAGGATAGGGAAGGGTTAGGCTTCCTTAATGTACATTAGAGTGTTGTCAGGAAAAGGGTAAATCATACGTTAATTATAAAATAAATTTGGGAAACAATTTTTTACAAGCCAATGTATGGAGACATGCGACCGCCGCTACATTGTACGTAATAATTTTGCATTACATTATATACTAGTGTAAGAAACTCTAATTTGTTTAAGGATACATCTTGTGTAATAGTGTATTTATGATTTAAAACAGTTCTATGCTGATAAAAATCTGTAATTTTCTTTTTATTCAAATGGAACTGTGATTGTCCTGATTTTTTTTTTTTTAACCTTAAACACTACTCACCTTCATTGGCTGGATGTGGGTTTGCTGGAGGGCCGAACGTGTTAGTCAATCTCGTAAGAGCGTTTAGAGACTTCATCGTACTTTGTGAATATTCACTCTGTGGATGTTGAGGTATGTTGGGAACAGAAGCACAACTTTCCGTGGACTCTGGAGTGAAATCTTCTAGGGTTGCCAATCCATCGGTCTCATCCTCCATCAATTCTTGTTTTACCTGAAACATTAATTTTTAAAATAACAGATCTTTTGTCACCAAATACTCCTGAAGCTAGTATCTGAAATAATGTATCTGGAAGAACATGGAAAAATTGCTTTGACAACTAACTAACAAAACTGATGCTTAAGAAGATATTAGACCAGATCGATAAGTATAGCTATGTTATTCCTATAAGTAAAAATCTAATAGGAAGATAAATATTGATTTTGTTATTTTAATTGTGATTTTATCTGTTTTCTTGTAGCTTCCAGTGTTTATAAATGAACATTTTTTACATGACTTTCATATTTTACTATCGATTGATCAAAACTATTTCAGTATCCAAAAGTCGCTATAATCTTATTATGATTTACCATGCCAATGAAATTTTATTTGAAGTAAACAAAAACACTTTTAACGGAAAACAGTGCAAACACCTCAACATTTTTTTGATATGCTACAAATTGAACCTATTACTCTTGAACTGACCATTCATTAATCTTACCTAACGTTCACTCTTGCACTAACCACTAGACTGGCAACATGGTTTAAAAGTTCAAAAAAGTGATTTGAATGACCCAACATTTTCCAGTTTCTATTTAAAACTACAACTTCTAATTTATTGAACATCCCATAACAACAATTAATTTGTTCTGATAGGAATGTGCTTTTTTTTAGAAAAGATATTTATATGTATATACTAAGAGGTTGGTGGCCTTTAACGTTGCATTGCCCGTTCACATGGGCCACAGAGGCCTGTGCGTGTATCCAGCAAAGCAAGGGGTGAGCTGTACTGATGAAAAGTAGCCTTGGAAGTCCGTGCCCTACCGACTGAGCCACTGACTCACAAACTAAATTAGTTCAGTGTTAAAAATATGCCTTACAAGGAAAATCAAGTGGTTACATTATTTTGTTATAAACAAAGATGATGTTTACTTATGACTCAAAAGTTTTTAGAAACAGGGAAACTAAGCAAAAACTTTGTTAAAAAAAGATGTGATCAACAAACAAAATTTAGGTTAGGTTAGGTTAGGTCAGTGGCTGTGTTGATAACCCCACACACTTCAGGCACTAGGCAGCGAGTTTGGGTCCTGGTACTTGCTACTACTTTTGATCAGCGCAGTTCACTCTAAAACCGCTTTAAAAATTTGAAAATCTTTACCTGCTGTTCACAGATGATTGTTTCAAAAGGAGATGAAAAATCAGTGGATGCTGAAGGTAACGCCTGAAACACAAAGACGAACGTTGAAATGACATACATAAAACATTTTAATCACCTAACAATCTTTTAAGACTCTAAATCCTGTATATTGACCATCCAGAGTATGTAACTTTTATTTACTTGTAACTGATTGTGAAAGCATAACCACAGAGAAGTAAGGTAGACGACCAAGCACTTCTTTAGTATGTTGTGCCGGAAATATACTTGTGACGAGCAAGGAAGAGCTCTAGCGGCAAGCACTGTGCGGAAATTCCTATCGCACAGGACACAGGGTCTTCCTCCACCGTGAACATTGTAGTACACAAGGGCGAGGGGTGTCCAACTTTGCCCTAGACACCACTTAATTGCACGATTGAATGTTTCCTCTATACCTTAATTCTCCGTGGCACAACTGAACAAAAACGGCCGAAAACTACCAGATGTGCTGCAAGAAAACTGTTCTTGAGATTACAGTTTAAAATGGCACTGTTGTAGACTGACAGGTCTGATTGATTGTAGAGCGACTATATTGTCTATGAGGGTCGAGGGAGCATATTAGACTGAGGTTTTGAATCCTCTCTTGTATACAACTCGAGTAGAGTTGACCTGTCCTTGTAAATTTTTGATGTAAGAGACCCACATATGACAAGTAAGTAGATCGAAGGAATATTTTCAGCTAAAATAGATGTTGACGGGAAGAGAGAATTCTTTGAGTTTATAATCAAATCAGACATTTTGCTATTTTTACTTTTACTTATCCTTGCTCTAAGTTTTCCAACAAAAGCTTATGTTGTAAGAAAAAAATTGGAATTTTTATGTTCATAAACTGAGAAACAAATAAAATAGACATTCTTAATTCATTTGTTAATTATCCGTGGTGCTTAAAAGTAGCCTATTTTAAAATAAATAAAGTAGTTAAAAATTCAAGTACTTTATCTTGGTTAATTTTTTGTATAAATTAAACATTATTTGAATATAGAAATCAACAAACTCTTAGCAATATTGGTTTTACCTTATCACTTGTATCAGCTGTTGCATTAGTTGCATCATATTTTTCTTCTGCGGCAGATTCAGCATCTTCAGACCTAAAAAAGACAACAGTTAGTAGGTCTAATGAATGTTACGCGACTCGTTTATGTATTACACTGTTCAATTTCAGCTTGAATTAATAAGTGTCACACAAATTAAGCATCAGCAAAAATAGCGTTAAAAAATGACATTTTGCTGATATCTTGGGAGACAAAGATTAAGTGTCTGCAACCACAAAAAAATGTTTACTGATTATCCACAATCAAAGAAAATGTTGATAATTTCTCCATTAGCAATAGGCAATAATGGTGTCTCTAATCACTCAAAATGATCACTGTTCATGTGAGACGTTCCTGATTCCTCCACCATTGCAGATGTCTGTCAAGTGTGGTCCGCCGGGGGCCTCATAGATTCTAATTATGGCCTTGGTTATAACAGTATTGCTTTATTGCTTAACTATTGTACTGAAGTCTATTTTTTTAGTTTAATCAAGAGTAAGTTCTCAAGGTGTTCAAACAAAATGAAGTTTAATTAATTTGATTTTTGTAACACTTGTAAAAGGTAAACCTATCAAAATCCATGTGTTTTATGATTAAATTGGTACAAGCAACCATCAATCATTTTTTTGTCCAAACCAATGGAATTTATGCTAAAGAATCATAAACTCTTGTAGTGACAAGTGTTCCAAACACCTTAAATTTTATAATTGTATAGTCCATATTCCTTATTATTATTAAGAAAAATTATAAATACTTTCATGAAATAATTTTTTAATAATAAACAGAAGGTATAACTTACTCGTAGTATGTATCTTCAGACGTCTCCACATCTTCAATGATAAGTTCATCTTTGATTTCAGTCACCGAGTGATGGCTGGTGCCTTCAATGCTGCGAAAACATATAAAAAATTAAATCATAAAAACTACCACAATATTACTGAAAAACTTGTTCCAATAGTAAAAAAATTGGAGCTATTTACGTATAAAACATCAGTGAAAAAATGGCAAGGTTAAACCCGTTGACATGGAAGGTCTTCAGAATGATTTCTTTACCAATGCTTTTTTTGTTATTTTGTTTTATGTTCTTTTATGGCATATGTGATTTTAAATAAACATGTTCATGTTGAACAAACATAATGTAAAAGCAAAAGAGAAAATTTGTGTCTTGTTCCTCTACTGTATAAAATTATACTCACCAGCCGATCTGTTAACACAATCACTGGCAATGGATTGATACATTTTACCCTTATCTGCTAGGTCTGTCAATTTTTTACAAAGTGGGACCTTTAGCTTGTGGCACAGAGAAGGTACACTTAAGTGGTGTCTAGCACCAGTTGCTGGTGTCTAGGGCAAAGTCTAACACCATCCATTATTCTCTTGCCTTCATGTACAACTACGCTCAAGCTGGAGGAGTCCCTGTATCTGTGTGATAAGAACTTCTGCACAGTGCTCGCCGCTCGGGCAACTTCCTTGTTTGTCACAAGTATGTTTTTTCCCTAGTGCGTACATTCCCGCCCACACAACATATAAGAGCCAAAAGTGCACTGTCGTCCCATAAGCAAGTTCCCTCCAGTTTGGTTGGTCGTCAGTTTTTAGCCGTGCACGTGCCTTAATGTTTTCGTGTCGTGTCCGTGTTTTGTGTTGTATGTACTATTTATTAAACTTTGATGCAATGAAAATGAAGAAACCACGTAAAAAATGTAAATATGTAAATAGCTCAGATTAGTGTATGATGACTACGCACCCGACGATGGAGTTATCTCCGAAACGGCCGTAGTGCTCAATTAACAGGATTGCGAAGACTGTAAGTAACCTTTATATTTATTACACGCAATCTGCCACACTGATTAATCTCAAATTAAGTTTGAAGTTACCTGCTAGACGGTTCAGAATTGGGGTTGGCACTGTGAAGATCATCATCCACTGTACTCGTCGTTGTTTTTTTTGGCCTCCTACAACAACAAATTGTCATCAAAGTACGGTAGCATTGTAAAATTACATTAAACATTCTACCACACAGTTAAATTGATAAAAAGTGATCAAAAATATAAATTTTTTTCAAAAACTACAAACTTAATACCTACTCTAGGGATGCAGTTGGGTGTATTTTAACCCAAATACGAATGGAGTATAAGTGTAGAAATCAGTGAAATGCCTAGGAAGCCTTTTCATAAGGAAAAATACATGTATGTTTAGCCAGGATAGTTTATCAAAAGCCCAATGATCAAGGACAACTGGGCCCATAGTTTAAAGGCTTCTACTGGAATCCACAACTTTGTATGGCCGAGTGAGGTCTTCTGATAGCTTGCTAAAGAAACGACCTGTTTGATTCAGTAAAAAGGCTACACAGAGCATCTTACTACATTAGTCCATTCTACACTTATTTTTTATACGCATTGAGTAAAAACTTCCAGTTTTTAACCAATCTTAATTGGCTACTCGATAGCAACCTCCCATTCAAGAAAGACATGGAATCAAATCCCAACTATTGTATAGTAAAAGTATCTAGATGTAAGTTTGTCGTAAGCAGTCGACTCAGTATGGTTACCATCTTTAACGTGGTATGGAGCATAACCATTCTCAGGGCCGTACTAAGACCGGTTGTCCTGGACAATTTTACTGGGGCCCTGGCCCCAAGGGGGGAACTGGCCGCATATATACTTCCCAAGGGGGCCGCCAAACATTTACTTCAAGGCGAGGGGGGCTCAAGAAACAGAAAACTTCCGAAATACACAAAACATTAGAATATTTCATTGTCACAGCATTTTCAAAAGGAAGAGAGTTCCCTTCTCATTCAGGTAAGCCTGCTATCCTTAATAAAAATACTATAAACCTAGGCTCTTGTGCAATATATCCATGCTTAACCTCAATCTCAACTTAAATTTTCTACATATCCTAATGTATAATGTACAACAATTACACAAAAGAATTACTTATGTCAATGTGGGAAAATGATGCTGAACTTACCCTTTAGGTTTTTGCCTCTTAGGCGCTGGTAACTCTCCTTGATCTTCCCCTAAATCAAACATATTGGAATCAGATATCAACTGATTTGTAAGAGCTGAATTCAAATCATACAGTACTCTAAACTGAGGTTTAATTTGAATATAAAAACCACTTAAGGTGGATCAAAAGAATTTGTTTTTTCACTTACAGTTATACTGAACAACTGAACACACCAAAATTCTTCTTTTCTAATAAATTCAAACACAATTATTTTTAGTAAAACCCATGATAACCTAAACCTTACTAACAAGGCAAAACAGGTGTGCAAATATGAGTACAACAAGGGTTTTGATGTATTAAGTTGTAGCCTCTGCTAACGTACATTCCAATATCCAGCCAAAGACAAACCCCAGTTGAGTTCAAACACTGAAGAAAAATTGCTAGGTACACATTATGGTGAGACAAAGGGGCACAAATGACCAACTCTTCTCTATGGCATGTACAGTTAATAAGATGTTGCCATTTTGTCCCGTACACTTGTAGTGAGAGGCGTGTATGAACGTAAACTACAAACATAAGTTACTACTTGTTTTGAGAAGGGTGTGAACTTTAACTGCGAAAATACTACTTGAACTTAGAATTAAGTTAATGAAAACATACTACTTGTACTGAGAAGGGTGTGAGCGTAAACTGTAAAAAGTACTACTTTTAAGTGAGCGTGTGAATTTAAACAGTGAACATTCTTCTTCTAGTGAGAAGCATGAATTTAAATATATTACTTGTACCGAGAAGCCTGTGACGAGAACATATTGTACTGAAAATTGAATGTGAACATATTACTTGTACTGAGTAGCGTTTAAACTATTACTTACTCATCTGTGTTGTCCTCACTCTGCGCATGTCTCTTCGGATGCTTTCCTGGTTTTTCTCTAGATACTCTCGCACCTCGCCTGTACTCGAAGCAATGGTCTCCTTGAGAATGTCCACGGGTCTCTTCGTCGGTTCTTTCAAACATTCGTCTCTCATCTGGCAACGCAACAGTGTAGCTTCTCGCTCCACAGCGTTGGGCGGATGGTTGTGTTCTGGGTGTAGCTTCACTATCTTGGGAACACCCTGGAAAATTACAATGAGTAAGTCACGACTCAAATCATCACCCAGAGCTGAACATGATATATCATAGCTTGAAATAAATACAGAATGAAATAACACGGATACATGTGATGACTCCTGGCAATTGTGTATACATTTACATCTCGTGATTAATTGAAGTCCAACTAGATGCAAGTAATGAGCATGGCAAAGACAGAACTCTGCACTCTATTTGTGGTTGTTGTGACAATTCTATACTCCGTTCAGACAGCCGTGGCACCTGACGGATTAGGACACCCCATGGAAACCCTTGGGGCCTCCTAATCCCTCAGGTGCCACGGCTGTTTGAATGCACTATAGATGAGTTTACTGACATTAAGGGAGGAGTTGGGACAGGGATTAAATAATGAACATCTATCAATTATTTATATTACCCTTGGTTAAATTAATTCAGATATCATGTTTAAGCAATTTAAAATGATTATAAAAATTGTTGCATACGTGTGGTCTAGTTATACACTATTACTAAACTCCCATACATAGTCAACAAAAACCTAATTTTACATTTATTAAAGGGTAGACAGAAATAATCAGTCAATCAATATATTATATTTAATGGTCATACTAAATCAAAACATTGTCACAATCCTTGTTGACGGGTCTTTCGACTACTGTTGCAAATATTTTAAACAAATCTTTGCAATTTTAGTTGTTGAAAATGTGTATTACATTCCAGTTTGACATTTTGGTACCCAATAAGATCCGTCTACAAGGATTGTTGAATAATTTCTTATCACGCTAAGATTTTTTCACAAGAGAAAATTACATTGTTGTTTTTTCCGTCATTTTCAAGTAAGAAGCATTCTTTCTTATTGCTACTGAGGGCTTCGTGGGTTTCCTCAATATTCTTTGGCACATGTGGTTGGCCTTGTTTTCTTGCTTTCCACATACACCTCCGGATGCACCTGACGTCTCTTTTAGTAAAGTTGTCGGTTCGACCTGAAGCATCATTGGAGATTTCTTCCATAATTAGATCCTCCGGCCTTTCACAAATATTCTCCACTGCTTTACGCTTGATACTGTTTGAAGTGACTTGTCTGGCTAACTTGTTCGTGTCACATTTGTGGTTATGATTCAGTTCAAATTTCGATAATACTGTTGTTTCCCCTAAAACAAAAAAAAAACAGTACAGGTATAAATTAATGAACAAGTCCATATAAAAAAAAAATACTCCTGTCGCAGCAAACCTACATACTCAGCTAATATACAAAGGAGATATAACTGTCTTAAGTCTACAACATGGGTCTTACATTTGAAAATTTGGAGTTGCCCCCATCTATCCTAGAAAGGGGAGGGGGCAAAATTTTGATTTCTTGCAAAAAGATAGATATGTCATCATACAATGATAAGTTGAAGCTGTAAAATTGTATCTACCCTCTAGATCAAACGAGTTTTGCTAACTTCTATCAATATTATTTGCCTACTCTGACAATTTGTGAAACAAATTGAAATTGAGCAATCCTTTGTCATCTTGATTTTATCAAATAATTGATTAACACTTAACAAAGTGCAAAATAGTAAATATTAACTTTTTACTTACCTTGGGTGTAGCACCTTGCCGGGCACTTTGTCTTGTAAGTACACTCACAAATCCAAGTTATCAATCCTGTTAAGCTTTTATGTCTTAGCCAAAACTTAAATCCGTCCACAACTAAAATTGGCTTCTCCCTCTCACTAACAAATATACTAACACTTGGATCCATGTTGTAACATCGAGGTACCGAAAACTGAACGATCTCAGCTAACGAGAAGAGCCTCCAAAACCTCGCTACAGAAAACGTACTACCTCGCTCAGGTAGACCTGTTGGACTGGAAATTCTGAGACCGTGTCAGAGAACCAACGCAACCGGTTAGTCCAGTCAATGCTATGCAGTGTTGCCAGATTGACCGGCGTATTATCGTACAACTGGCAACACTGTGCAATACAATGGCAGTAACAAACTACAAACTACTTATTCGCCGGTATTTTATCGTCGTCAATCAGTGGTCGGCGCGTGTGCCAAGTTGAAGTTGCGTCAGTTGTGATCTGTAAAATATCGGACGGTCTAAAATCGGCATGAGTCAATAAAACTACTACAGTAACTATTTAAAAAACAACTCTCACAACACACACAATAATTCCAACAACCCTAATGAAACAATAACGGTTCTGACAACGACGCTATTAAAAACTGAATTTCATTAGTGTCCAAGGGCAAGGGAAGGCCCTAAGCTACTGATTCTTTTATAGAAATTGTCAAACTTTTATATCTTTTAAATAAACTAAAAGAGATAAAACATAAAAAGAGATCAACTCTTTTAAATCTTATAATCTACTTTTAAATCTCAAAACACGTTTATCTGTTAAAACGCTCATGAGAATATTTGAATGTGTTTCTTAAACGAATTAGTATTCATGAGAATACTAGTTTTTATCAACTTCATGAGAAATGTGGATCGTATATTTTTTTGGGTATGTTAGGGATCGAACCCGTCCCTCTTGCACCAAAGGTCGAGACATTAACCTCTAGGGTAGCAAAAATAGACGGCATCCCCGTAAAACAAAATATTTCTACGTCCCTTAAACACTCAATTCATTCTGACACTAAATACAACTTTTACAACCCTCCCCTCTACCATAGAAAACGTACTACTATACCCAGAATGCCAACCGCATGGTAAAAAGCATTAAGCGGTTTGAGAGAGCTTTGCCTGTCAATCCGTAGGCAGCGCCACCAGCGTTGCTATGCTATTGCATGGCAACGCTGGTGGCGCTGCCTACGGATTGACAGGCAAAGCTCTCTCAAACCGCTTAATGCTTTTTACCATGCGGTTGGCATTCTGGGTAGTAGTACGTTTTCTGTGCCTCTACAGACCTACCAGAACTTCGGTCCAAGCCCGAGCCTTGCACTTGAATCTTTGAGTCTGCGCACATTTCCACTGCACATGGCGCGTCATCGTCCTCAACTTGCAGTAAGAATATCCTTCACTGTGAAGCAACCGACTTCCTCGAATACTAGTGAGGAAGTAGCCTTCGGTGTCGGCCAAAGGGTCTTCAGGAGGAACCATAGCGACCTTCGGAATAGTTAAAATACTACCCGGATCCATGTTGAAAGACGCGAAACACTGAGAACACACAGCGCGGACGGACAGACTCAAAGTGAGATTCTGATTTGCGAGGTTCGGCAACACTGTGCGCGGACGAGTCCAACTAGGACATAAGGTTCGTGAGAGGTTTGGCAACACTGTAAGAGCAGGGAGGGAGGATTAGTGCATTGACAAAGGTCCAAGATAATGAAGGGTCGGGGCCTCAGGGGGTCGGGTGTCCGACCACAGACGAGGGTCCAGCCCTGCATCGATCTTGTTTTGAACTAATCTTAGTCCAACTAAATCTCAAAACACCTTGCATAAAACGAAAACTTTGTGTATAACAATGGTATTTTATCCAGCTATATGTAATTGTATATACTATAGATCAATACACAGCACTTTCAGACCTCAATGAATACCTTGTTTACCGTATATGGAATTAATTTATGTCTTCATAAAATTACTGCAAAGAAAATTATTAACAACAAATATAACACGTTTAAAGACACACACTACAAATGGTATGTGTATACTTATATACAATGATGCAGTATACAAATTCGTGTATGAGATGAAATGATTTTCATAAACGTTGATACTAACTTATGAAGGAATTTACTAAACATGTGTAAATACTTTGTATAAAAAATTTAAACTTAATAATCACACATATATGTTCACTATTCTATGGAATAATTTTCTGTCATAAAATAAAGATCATCAATAACATTATTAGCGGATTTTATTATAACACGTAAGAACGCACGCCAGACACGTTTTCTTATAGTATAAGTAACTTTTGAAAATGTTTACCCAAAGGAATTGTTTCTGGGATGATAAAAATTATTATAACACCCAATTTTAACAAATATATTTAACTGTACGAATGCAGATAAGACTTATTTTATGTGTCACAAGTATAGTACTTTCTTGTTTGGACACAGTACTTTAAGAATCCAATGGAGTGTTTAGTGAATAGGAACAATGATTTAAGCATTAAGTTCAACAAATGTATTAACGGATGAACGCACACCCAACTAACCGTTTCATAACATTGTGTCAAAATTGTGTGTATCTTTTCTGTGGTAAATCCCCATCGGGTATGTAGACTTCCAAAACTGGCTTTAGAAAATCACACACCTGATTTTGATTTGTTTGCGCTAACTTTTGTTGCTGTCTCCGTTTTCTGAGGTCTCGTCTGATGGATTTCAACTTTGTTTTGCTCAGGTGTGCTTTCACCTCTTCAGGCACATCTCGGAGTGTATTCTCCATCACTTTGGCGGGAAGTGTGTTAGGTTTTACCGCTTGATCTCGCAGTTCATGTCGCAATTTGATCACTTCCTTTAGATACGCATTGGGCGGGTGACAGTGCTCCTTGAAGTTTGTCGGGTTTGAATACTGTAAAAAACATATGTTTTAGTTTGAATACGGTGAAAAAACATATGTTTTAGTATGAATACTGTGAAAAACATATGTTTTAGTATGATTACTGTGAAAAACATATGTTTTAGTGTGTAAACTACTGTCATGGCCTCCTCTGATGCAAGGCTCACCTGCCTAGTAAAAACGCGTAAACACAAGCACTGTTTCGGTAGGACGAGAGTGCGACGTTGCCACTTTTGTCACGCCGCGGCCTTGTATCAGATGAGGCTATGGTTGGAACATTTTCAATTCTAGTACATTGTAATTGACTGAAATATAACTTGCTGTGTTGGCAACTGATTAAAATACGCTCATCATATAACATCATCAGTTCAGATGAAAAATAACCATTTAGACCTACTTAAAACTTTTTCATTTTATCTAAGAAGTTATCATTGCCTATAATTACATGCTTTGTTTACTTGATATGTAATTTTAAAAATTAAACTACAGAGTTATTCAATTCACGACTT